CAAAGTCTCTTCAAATTCAAGAGAATAGAAATCATAACAAGCATCTTCTCAGATCACAATGGCATAAAACTAGAAATCAACTACAATAAAAATATTGAAAAAAATCAAACACTTGGAGGCTAAATAGCATGCTATTAAACAATGACTGTGTTACCAGAGAGATCAAAGAAGAAATAAAAAGCATCCTGGAAACAAATGACAATGAAAACACAACAATCCAAAATCTATGGGACACAATGAAAGCAGTCCTGAGAAGGAAGTTCATAGCTCTACAGGCCTACCTCAAAAAACAAGAAAAACTGGTAATAAATGATCTAACCCTACAACTCAAAGAGTTAGAAAGAGAGTAACAAGAAAGCCCACAGTATCTAGAAGGAAGGGAATAATAAAAATCATAGCAGAATTAAACGACATAGAGGCCAAAAAAAAAAAAATACAAAACATCAATGAAACCAAGAGCTGGTTCTTTGAAAGGATTAACAAGATTGATGAACCTCTCGCCAGGCTTACCAAGAAACAAAGAGAGAGGACCCAAATAAACAAAATCAGAAATGAAAGAGGTGAAGTAACACCTGACCCTATTGATATACAAAGGATTGCCAAAAAATACTACGAACAACTCTACTCCAACAAACTGGATAACCTCGACGAAATGGACACATTCCTCGAAAAATATAAGCTTCCAAAACTCAATCAAGAAGAATAAAAAAACCTGTATAGGCCAATAACTACTGATGAAATTGAAACAGTAATCAAAAAGCTTCCAGCAAACAAAAGCCCTGGACCAGATGGCTTCACAGGGGAGTTTTACCAAACATTCAAAGAACTAAAGCCAATCCTTCTCAGACTATTCCAAAAAATTCAAGAGGAAGGCACACTTCCAAGCTATTTCTATGAAGGCAGCATTACCCTAATTCCAAAACCAGATAAAGACACCACAAAGAAAAAGAATTATAGGCCAATATCCCTGATGAAATAGATGCTAAAATCCTCAACAAAATTCTAGCAAACCAGAACCACCATTACATTAGAAAGATCATACACCATGACCAAGTGGGATTTATTCCAAGAATGCAAGGCTGGTATAATATCCACAAATCAATAAACGTGATACATCACATAAACAAATTGAGAGACAAAAATCACATAATCCTATCGATTGATGCAGAAAAGGCATTTGACAAAGTCCAACACCCTTTTCTGATAAAAACGCTCAGCAAAGTGGGGATAGAGGGATCATACCTCAACATAATAAAAGCCTTATATGACAAACCTACAGCCAACATCATACTCAATGGGCAAAAACTAAAACCATTTCCCTTAAGAACAGGAACAAGACAGGGATGCCCACTTTCACCACTCCTGTTCGACATAGTACTGGAAGTGCTAGCCAACGTGATCAGACAAGAAGAAGAAATAGCCCTAACCGGTTTGGCTCAGCAGATAGAGCGTCTGCTTGTGGACTGAAGGGTCCCAGGTTCGATTCTGGTCAAGGGCATGTACCCCGGTTGCGGGCACATCTCCAGTAGGGGGCGTGCAAGAGGCAGCTGAATCGATGTTTCTCTCTCATCAATGTTTCTAACTCTCTATCCCTCTCCCTTCCTCTCTGTAAAAAATCAATAAAATATATTTTTTTAAAAAAGAAGAAATAAACGGCATTCAAATTGGAAAAGAAGAAGTAAAATTGTCATTATTCGCAGATGACATGATACTGTACTTAGAAAACCCTAAAAACTCCATCAAAAAATTATTAGAACTAATAAATGAATTTGGCAATGTAGCAGGATACAAAATTAACGCCAAAAAATTTATGGCATTTTTATATGCAAATAGTGAACTTACAGAAAGAGAAATTACAAAAACAATCCCATTTACCATTGAACCAGAAAATTTAAGATACCTAGGAATAAACTTGACTAAGGAGCTAAAAGACCTCTACCCAGAAAACTACAGGACATTGAAAAAAGAGATAGAGGAAGACATAAACAGATGGAAGATCATACCATGTTCATGGATTGGTAGAATCAACATCATCAAAATGTCCATACTACCCAAAGCAATCTATAGATTCAATGCACTTACCACTAAAATACCAACAGCATATTTCACAGATCTAGAAAGAACTCTCCAAAAATTCATCTGGAATGAAAAAAAAACAAACCCGAATAGCTGCTGCAATGCTGAGAAAGAAGAACAAAGTAGGTGGGATCTCAATACCAGATATCAAGCTGTATTACAAAGCCACTGTTCTCAAAACTGCCTGGTACTGGCACAAGACCAGACATATAGATCAATGGAATAGAATAGAGAACCCAGAAATCAACCCAAACCACTATGCTCAATTAATATTTGACAAAGGAGGCAAGAGCATACAATGGAGTCAAGACAGTCTCTTCAATAAATGATGCTGGGTAATTTGGTCAGACACCTGCAAAAAAATGAAACTAGACCACCAACTTACACCATACACAAAAATAAACTCAAAATGGATAAAGGACTTAAATGTAAGATGGCAAACCATAAAAATATTAAAGGAATCCACAGGTAGCAAAATCTCAGATATATGCCAAAGGAATTACTTAATTGACACAACCCCTAGGGCAGTGATGGCGAACCTTTTGAGCTCAGCATGTCAGCATTTTGAAAAACCCTAATTTAACTCTGGTGCCGCGTCACATATAGAAATTTTTTTATATTTGCAACCATAGTAAAACAAAGATTTATATTTTTGATACTTATTTTATATATTTAAATGCCATTTAACAAAGAAAAATCAACCAAAAAAATGAGTTCGTGTGTCACCTCTGACACGCGTGCCATAGTTTTGCCATCACTGCCCTAGGACAATGGAAACTAAAGGGAAAATAAACAAATGGGACTATATAAAAACAAAAAGCTTCTGCACAGCAAAAGAAACCATCAACAAAACAACAAGAAAACCCACTGCATGGGAGATCATATTTGCCAATGATATCTCTGATAAAGGTTTAATCTCCAACATTTACAGGGAACTCATACAACTTAACAAAAGGAAGATAAACAACCCAATCAAAAAATGGGCAATGGACCTAAATAGACACTTTTTGAAAGAGGACATACATAAGGCTGAGAGACATATAAAAACATGCTCAAAGTCACTAATCATCCAAGAGATGCAAATCAAAATGACAATGAGGTACCACCTCACACCTGTCTGAATGGCTATCATCAACAAACCAACAAATGACACATGCTGGTGAGGATGCGGAAAAAAGGAACCCTTGTTCACTGCTGGTGGGAATGCAAACTGCTGCAGCCACTGTGGAGAACAGTATGGAGTTTCCTCAAAAAACTAAAAATGGAACTTCCATTTGACCCAGTGATCCCACTCCTAGGAATATATCCCAAGAAATCAGAAACACCAATCAGAAAGGATATATGCACCCCTATGTTCATAGCAGCACAATTTACAATAGTTAAGATTTGGAATCAGCCTAGGTGTCCATCAGCAGATGAATGGATTAAAAAACTTTGGCACATCTACACAATGGAATACTATGCTGCTGTACAAAGGAAGGAACTCATACCATTTGCAACAGCATGGATGGAGCTGGAGAGCATTATGCTAAGTGAAATAAGTCAACCAGAGAAAGATAACTATCGCATGCTCTCACTCATTTGTGGATTATAATGAGCAACATAAACCGTTGAACAAAAACAGATGTAGAGACAGAGAAGCATCGATCAGATGCTCAAAACTCAGAGGGAAGATAGGGTAGGGTGGGGGTAAGGGGGAGAGATCAACCATATAAGCATAAGCGATGGATGTGGACAACAGGGGTAAGGGTGAGGGCAGGATTGGGGGGATGAGGGGACATTGGGGGGATAAGGACACATTTGTAATATCTTAATCAATAAAGGGAAAACATTTTAAAAAAATATGATATACATAATACACATATGGGTAGTAAAATAAAATATAAATTGGGTTATCTTTTGGTGATAATATTTCAGGTTTTTAAAAACATTTTTGGCATTTTAAAAATTTATAACATTCACATATACTACATATATTTATAATCAGAAAAGTATTTTAAATCAATAAAAAGTATATAATAATTTCATCATCTACTTGAGGTTTACTTGTAATATATCAGAGCTGAATGCAAATACTTTTGCAGGGTTTTTATTTGCTTCTTAATAACTTTAATTTTATTTAATAACTCTTAAATTTTAAATAAGTTTTTATGGAGAAAGTAGTAACCATAATGCCAGGTACTAAAGATAACCATATAAACAAACAATTTTCTTTAGAATTTATTAATTGGCACATAAAGTTTCCTTCTAAATGCTAGATAACATTTTATCAAATGTTAGGGGGTCTATCATATTTTTGTCTTTATATTTTGTTGATGTATTTTCAAAATCCCTTTCATTTCAGACATAGAATATTTTTTTCAGAAAAAAGTAAAATTTAAGTACAATTCTTTTTTAAAATATATATTTTATTGACTTTTTACAGAGAGGAAGGGAGAGGGATAGAGAGCTGGAAACATCGATGAAAAAGAAACATCAATCAGTTGCCTCCTGCACACTCCCTACTGGGGATGTGCCCGCAACCAAGGTACATGCCCTTGAGCAGAATCGAACCTGGGACCCTTGAGTCCTCAGGCCGACACTCTATTCACTGAGCCAAACCGGTTAGGGCTAAGTACAATTCTTAATACTAAAACTTCTCCTTAAATTTAGATGTTTACTTTGAATATCTACCTGAGAATACTTGTATTAGCTATGAAACATCTTTCCTTTTAGTCAGATAACAAATGAACAATATTCATGACCATGAAAAACTTACTTTTAAGATTCTTGGTTACGATGTGTCTAACAAAGTGAAATAGCATTCAAGTAAAATAGATACTATTTGAACAATCCAAGTCCTCCAAATCACTAATACCTGATTTTATCAGATAACTGAAGCAAAAATCATCACTAGGTGTTTTCACAAGAGCAAGTCCACATACCTTTTATATCTCTGGGTTCCTTTAACAGCACCTAGTGGTTTGGCAAAAAAGAAGAGTTCAATTAACACTGATTGAAATAACATAGCTATAATATTTATTTATTATCACTCACTGGTGCCAATTACTAGTGTTTTAAGGAAAAAAAGGTTAATTGAAAAAATTAGTTTCTACATTCCATGATTTATAGTACAAGATAATGGTCCTTAAGCTTTTTGAATATGAAGACCCCTTTGTAATACCAAAAATATTCCCAGGATCTACATGACAGTAATTGCCTTGTTTAGGGTCACTGACTAAATAACTATATGACAGTAACTTTGATAAAATCAATAACACTTAAATAATTGAGTTTCGAGGATTTTATTAAAATTACAGTCAATTCTAAAACGTGGATCACCTGCAGTAACCCAGAGCTCTTGGTCCTTCAGAGAATGACTGCTCATAGGTGTATAGCTTTGCCCAAGATACACATACAATTTAAATCAATTGATTATAATAAATATTTTTAAAGTACCTACTAGATGCCAGGCACTATGACAGGGCCAGATGATAAAAGATAGATTGAGTCCCTACCTTTAAAAAGTTCAATATAGTGAGAAACACTAACTGAAAATTATAAATGCAGTCTGCCAGTACAAAAATGACATAATTATACAGGGAGGCAGTGAAGTGTCAAAAAAAGGTTCTTATCAGATCTGGTCCGAATCTTAAATGTAGAATGGGAATTACTGGAGTTTAAGAGAAGATGGAATTTCAGGTTTAATGTCATCCCAAAGCAAAGCCACAGAGGTGATAACTAGCATCAAATGGACTTGGAGACAAAGCTTTGGATTGTTACTGTACAATAATGTGTAAATCAAGCAATTGTAGAATATAAGCCTAAACGAGACAGAAAGAGGCCTAATCATGAAGGACCTTATGTTATTATATTAAGGAGCTTGAATCTTATGCTACAAAGAATGGGGTAACCATTTAGGGTTTTAAGCTGGGGTATGGTATAATCAGACTTCTGCTTTATATAGAACTTTATGGTAGCTGTATAGTAGATGGATTTGAAAGAAATAAGAATAGAGGTAAGGAAAATATTTGTTGACTAAAATGACTGGCTGAATGCATGAAGCTGTAGTATTCTAGACAAAAGACAGTGAGAGTCAGAACTATGATTATATTACTAGGAATAGAAAGGAAAAGATTAATAAAAATATTTATATCAAATTAGCAGGGCCCAGTGACTGATAAAATGTGAAATATAAAAGATAAGAAGTAAAAGACAAATCCTGGTTTGAGGGGGAAAAAATGGAGTCACCAAATGAAATTCAAAATCCTGAATGAAGAGCTCTTTTTGTAGGAATAATGACAAGATCTATTTTTCCTGACCTGTAAGACAGAGATATCTAGCAAGAGTTAGATAATGGAGCTTGAAGCTCAAATGAGAGAAATGTGAGGTAGAAATATACATTTTTTTGTCATCATCACAGAGGTAATAGAAGATAAAGTATAAATCTCACACAAAGAGAGAGTGTAGAATCATAAAAAAAAATAGTTGCATAACAGAATCCTTGGAACACTTACATTTAGACAGTGAGAGAATAAGAGTCCATGAAATTCACAAAGTACAGTTAAATACTGTGAAGTGGAAAGGTTCAAAGAGAAAAATGCAATAAGTATTATGAAGTTGTGTTATGTAATAACATTTAAAAATGTTCATCAAACTTGGAAATTAGATAAATAACAGCAATGATAACTATCAGCTTCTGTGAAATGGAAGGGAAAACCAGATTGCAGTTGTCCATAAAGTCTATTATCTGTTCAAGATATTTATTGAGTGTCTTCTACTTGCCAAGCATGATACTACATACTGGGCATAGAGTGGTGGACAAAATAGACATGGGTTCCTTTCATTATGGAGCTTTTCCCATGTAGTTAGATGCCTACATCACCAATTTGCTGGACAATGGAGAAAAATAGATATTTTTTAAATTTTTATTTATTGTTCATACCTATTTCTAGCCCTCTCACTTTGGAAATGTGCTTTCCTGAGCCTATCTAGAAAATCAGCTATCAGATTCAGCAGATTATATGCATCTATATCCCTATAACTTTTGGGATTTTCAACTATTCTTTCTAAAGTTAATTCAGTATTTTCCAATCTTATTTCTGTTTTTCATTCTGGGTACTTATAATTTGGACTTTTTTCATTTTAATTATTATCCTGTTCTTTATGTTTATTTGGGTAAATACTCATAGCTAGTTCTGAAGATTTATTTGTTTTCCTATTGTTACCCTTATCTTTGTTGTTGTTGTTACTTTAATAGTAAGCAAACTCTCTAATTTCAATTTGAAAATTTTAAATCTTTTGATCTCTCTAGACATTATGAAACTTTATCACTATTCTTTGTCACTTTAAAGATGTTGTTGAGTGCCTGTACTTGCCCCAAATGTGATGTGAATAAAATAATCCTCTTATTCCATTTCTTTTTCTTAAAGGGCTATATTATTTTAGCAAGTGTATTCTTTAAATCCTTGATATCCTCAACATTATATGCATTTTATTAATCTACATAGATACAATGAAAATTAAAATGGAAAATACTATGTAACATGCCAAGCATGGGTACCTCAAACATTATAGAGCCTTCAATAAATATTGAAAGCAGCATAATGTAATAGAAAAAGAATATGATAGTCTCAGAATCCTACTATGCCAGGGCTTGAATCAGAATATTTGTAATTTATAAATTATGTGACTATAAATAAATTATTTAATCTTTGTACCTTAGTTTTTTATCTCTAGAATCAGGGTTAATGATGATATACTTCAATGGCTGTTGGATGATAAAGAGAAAAAGCACAGTGAACATTCAATAAAACATCCATTTTCTTACCCTTGCCTAAAAATCAAATGGAATATATGTGACTCTTATCTTTTCTAAAAAAATGCATATCTGGTATGCCACTTTAAAAACTTTCAGCTCTTGTGTCCTTTGTGAGACAAACGATAACTGAGCAAGTACTTATAAAAAATGTGAAATAATAAACTATAGCCAAAATACTATTTTTTAACCTCTTTTTGGAAAGTATTATTTCTTTAAGTGCATTGTAATAAAAGGGCAAAATTCTGAAGCTATTTTATACGGGCTAGGGAAAAGTAGATTTACAGTTGTTTGTATGGAAAATAATATAATAATTAATAACAATAAAAGAATAAACTGTGTTTTGTGCACTCACAACCATAAACCTACTTTTGCCCTACCCTGTATGGTAAATAACATTAAGATCAATATTAAAACCAAAGTGCTAGAAAAATGAGACATTCAATGATAACACTTATTTCATTATTAAGGCTTTATAATACATTTATGGAATTTATTTTCCATAAGGAATATACACACATACACTCACCGACCACTAGATCTATCTAGTGTTATAAATAAATAATGGCACTGACAATACTATTAACTTTTAAAAAACATTTTTAAAATGCATATAATAAACTATTAAACAGTACAAGTGAGACATGAATTAGTGAACTAAATGTCTACTAAAGTGATTTCACAGCTGCTATAACATATTTCTATTAGTAAAAAATGGTGACAAGAACAACAGTACTACTACTACAATTATTCTACTATTGATGTTGTTTCTCTTAACAATAATAACGCCTTTCTTTAATTGAACATTAGTTCTATTTCTTGTGGTCTGCTATATACAATCATATATCCTTAAATGACACAGATGCGTCTTGATAAATGTGTTGTTAGGCAATTTTGTCATTGTGTGAACACCATAAAACACATACAAACCTAGACAGTATAGCCTACTACACACCTAGCCTATATAGTATAGCCTATAGCTCCTAAGCTACAAACCTGTACAGGATGTTAATGTATTGAATGAATACTGTAGGCAACTGTAGCACAATGGTAAGTGTTTGTGTATCTAAATTTTATATGACTGGCAGCCCTGTAAATTGGTTTACATCAGTATCACCACAAACATGTCAGTAATGCATTTTGTTATGGCATGATGACTACGATGTCACTAGGCAATAGATATTTTTCAGCTCCATTATAATCTTATGGGACCACTGTTGTTGACTGAAACATTGTTATGTGGCACAAAACTGTTCTATTTAGTATATTATCTCATTTAATCCTTACAATAACTATGATGAAGGTATAACTACCCTCATTTTATAGATGAGGAAACTAACTTGCAAAAAGTCATAGGTGGCAGAGTCAGGATAAAACAAAACAAAACAAAACAAAACAAAACAAAACAAAACCTAATGCTCACATTTATAAAAACTACCTTTTACTGCCTCCTAATATCTCTAGAAGCTTTAGTTTTAGACTGCTATAAATTAAATATATACTTTCCCCAAAATCTTGTTTCTTTAACAAATTTTTAAAACAAAAGCCAAGCCATATAAATTTATACATTGGATAATTACAATATTTCTTACATAAAAATGAGCAGAATACTTACTCTGCATTAGGCAAGTTTCCTTAATATTAGCTACACTGCTAATTTAATTGAATCATTAAAACAACCAAAGTACTTTGAAAATCTAGAAATGTAATTCCTGGTAATCCAATATGGTACTCAAAATTTTAAGTTATAAAGTCTACTCTACAATGTTTTGCTAAGACCAAATTTGAGTGCCAGCATATAAGTACCATATTCCCAAAATTTCATAAAAATAGCCAAAGAAATATTTAAAGAGGACCTAGCTGGTTTGGCTCAGTGGATAGAGCGTCAGCCTGCAGACAGCGAAGCATCCCAGGTTCGATTCCGGTCAAGGGCACATGCCTGGGTTGTGGGCTAGATCCCCAGTGTGGGGTGTGCAGGAGGCAGCTGACCGGTGATTCTCTCTCATCGTGGATGTTCTATCGCTCTCTCCCTCTCCCTTCCTCTCTGAAATCAATAAAGATATATTAAAAAAAGAAAAGAAATATTTAAAGAGGAAAAAAAAAAAACTGGCATCATCACAAATTTCTAGAGTGTATCTACATACCAGAAAACATTTTTGAGGAATTTCTGTTTGATATAGAATAAATGAGGCCAGACTGAAGGAAGGCACCAAAGACTTCCTGATAAAGAAAAGTGGCATCAAGAAGTGAGGACCTTACCAGTGAGTTCACACACAAGATTTTCTATCTGGAAGGAAGGAAGGAGGGAAGAGAGGGAGGGAAGGAGGAACGGTGGGAGGGGAAGGAAGAAACCTCTTTTGGAGATAAAGTATACTGTATATATTTGCAAACGTAATCTCTGGAAGGATATTTAAAAGTACCAAATATAAATATGTTACTTATTGGTGGAGGAGAAAACAGATCAGGCAGTGAGGGACAGAAATGGGATGGAAACAGACACATATATATGGTGTATGTGTGTGTGTTTTCACTTTGAACCTATTTTTTTCAAACTAAATAAAACAAAAATAAGCAAACAAAAGAGGTCCCTGATCTCTCATCCTCTTCTACAACCACCCTATTCATTCACTTTCAACTCTTCATTTGGCTTTTACCTCCCCTGCCCTAAGTACACTGAAACTCTTCTTATGTTCATGCAATGTTCATGCATAGAGTACTTATTAAGAAATCTAACAAACACTTTTTAATATTATTTCATTTCATATATAGATAAATGAACAAATTCGGAAATGTTTTTGAGGTAGAGCCCAAAGGACTTGGTGACAGATTCAATCCTATATAATAAAAGCCTAATATGAAAATTGTCTCAACCAGGAGTTCTACTGGGAGTTTGACTGCTTGCTATGACATGCACTGACCATTGGGGGCAGCACGGAACATGGTGGGTGGCAGCGATATGGTGCTGACAGCGGGAGGCAGTGGAGGTGCTGTCAGCCCCGATGGGCCCCAATGAGAGCGGGACCACGGCAGGATGGTGGAGCAGGTGAGCGGGCAGCACCAGGCCAAGGCAGGTGTGAGTGGGGCCGATCGCCCTGCTGACTGCCCCACAGACAGTGACCAGAAGTGATGGCAGGGGGTAGGGCTGCCACCCGGCTCCCAGGAACTAAGGGAGTCAGGCAGGTGGCCCGACCCCAATAAATCGCCCCGCAGAGGGGATGGTGGAGCAGTTGGGGAGGTGGCGCTGACACTTCCACCACAGAGAAAGGGCAAATAGGAATATTAAAATATTTCTTCTAATTATTTTCCTTTCAATGTGCAGGAATCCATGCCACTCATGTATAACATAAGAAAGAGGAAGGAGTAAAGAATTAATCCCTTCTTTCTGGCTTGAGCAATATGGGCAATTGGTGCCACTTACTGAACAGGAGTAAAGAGAGACAAAACAGGCTTAACATGTTGGCGTATGTGTGTGCATTGCAGTGGGAGTAATCACTATTTCACATATAGACATGTTAAATAGGAGATGCCTAAGAGACATCAGCTTATAAAATAGGCAGTGGGTTTTTGAGGCTAGAGTTTGGAGGAGAGGTTTAACCTAAAGTTCTAAATTTGGGAGCAATTTGTGTATAGATGGTATTAATAGTTATAGAAATGGAAAAGCCAATGAAGGAAGAGAGCATACAGAAAGAAAAGGAACCAAGAGAGATGCTTCATGAACTCTAATTTTATTTATTTATTAAAAAATAAGTTTTTATTGATTTCAGAGAGACAAAGGGAGAGGAAGAGAGAGATAGAAACATGATGAGAAACATAAAAATCAATCAGCTGTCTCCTGCACGCACCCTACTGGAGATCGAGCCCGCTACCAGGGCATGTGCCCTGACCAGGAATTGAACCAGTGACTTCCTGGTGCGTGGGAGGATGCTCAACCAACTGAGCCACACTGGTTGGGCTGAACTGTAATTTTAGAGGGCAGGTAGACAAAGAGGAACCAGCAAAGGAGATTGAGGAGTGAGAAAGAGGAAGGAGTAAGTTAAGGAGAATATGTTATCATGGAAACTAAGAAAAGAAAGTGTTTCAAAAACAAGGGTGTGATAGGACAAGACATGGAGATAATCAAAGTGTCCCTCGATAGATGATTGGATAAAGATATAGTACAAAATATACAATGAAATACTACTCCACTATGAAAAAAAAGATGAACTACTACCATTTGTGAGAACATGGATCCACTTTGAGAATACCATGCTAAGTCAGATGGAAAAAGTTAAGAACCATATGATTTCACTCATATGTAGGGTATGAAACTGAAAGTAACAAATGAACAAATGAAAACTCATAGACACTGATAACAGTATGGTAGTTACAGAGGGAAGGGGGGTGGGAGGTAGAAAGGCTAAAGGGGGCCAAATGTATGGTGAGGGAAGAAGATTAGATTTTAGGTGGTGGTTATACAATGCAATATACAGATCATGTATCATAGAATTATACACTTGACATCTATATGGTCTTATTAACCAATGTCACCCCCAATAAATTTAATTAAAAATAAAATAAATTAAAAAATAAAAACCCAAAGGGTGTAGCTAAATTTTTGTTATATTTCAATGAATGAAGAGTGGAATATGTGGTTTATAAAAAATCATTTAATTAAGGCCACTGAAACATTTTGTAAGAAAAAATATAAATGAAAACAATGTACTTTTGAAGTCACTTTTTAAAAGATATAGTTTTATTGATTTCAGAGAGGAAGGAAGAGGGAGAGAGATAGAGACATCAATGATGAGAGAGAATCATTGATCGGTTGCCTCCTGCACGCCCCACAGTGGGGATTGAGCCTGCAATCGGGGCATATACCCTGACCAGGAATTGAACCATGACCTCCTGGTTCATAGGTCAATGCTCAACCACTGAGCCATGCCAGCTGGGCATTGAAATCACTTTTTAAAAAACAAAG